GGTCTGTTTTTGAGAAGGATCCATGTGCTGCTGAGAAAAAAGTGTAACCGCTTGATGTTGGGTGGTATATTCTATATATGTCATTTAAGTCTAGGTTATTAATTGTATTATTGAGTTCTGTAGTTTATCTTTATTCAACTTTTGTTTGGAAGATCTGTCCAGTGGTGAGAGAGGTGTGTTGAAGTCTCCCATAATTATTGTATTGTGGTCTATTTGACTCTTGAACTTGAGGAGAGTTTGTTTGATGAACGTAGCTGCACCATTGTTTGGGGCATATATATTTATGATTGTTATGTCTTGTTGGTGTATGGTTCCCGTGAGCAGTCCTTCTTTATCCCTTTTGATTAACTTTGGCTTGAAGTCTGTTTTATTTGATATGAGTATGGACACTCCTGCTTGCTTCCGAGATCCATGTGAATGGTATGATTTTTCCCAACCCTTCACCTTCAGTCTATGTATGTCTTTTCCTATCAGATGCGTCTCCTGTAGGCAGCATATTGTTGGATCTTTTTTTTTTTTTTTTTTTTGATCCATTCTACTAGTCTGTGTCTCTTGATTGGTGAGTTTAAGCCATTAACATTTAGGGTTACTATTGAGATATGGTTTGTACTTCCAGCCATGTTTGTTTATTTATGTTACTTAACATTTATTTTTCCTCTTTGATTATTTTTTTCCTTTACTGTACTATCTCCCGCTGTTGGTTTTCATTGTTATTTTTCATTTCCTCTTCCTGTAATGTTTTGCCAAGGATGTTTTGAAGAGCTGGTTTTCTAGCTGCAAATTCTTTTAACTTTTGTTTATCGTGGAAGGTTTTAATTTCATCTTCCATCCTGAAGCTTAATTTCGCTGGATTCACGATTCTTCTTTGGAACCCATTTTCTTTCAGTGTTTGAAATATGTTTATTTAAAAATAAAACAAATGTGCTACGATCATATGGCCAATAGTCAAACTTCTAAATACCTTTACACAGAGAGAGATTATTTTTTATTTAAAAATAAAGCAAATGTGCTACGATCATATGGCCAATAGTCAAACTTCTAAATACCTTTACACAGAGAGAGATTATAATTTATGTCGATACAGCATCCTGTTTTGGAAAGTTTACATCTCCATTTTCCATAATAGTTCCTAATTGGAAACAGTCCTGAAGTTGTGAACAGATTTGACTGGGCAGACATACTGTTGTGTGTCAACACCATGGGGAAGCATGCTAAGGAAAATCAAGGTGCTCCTTTCAGACTGGTCATGGTTTTAAGGGGAGGAAAATAAACAAATACTATCTAAAAACAACTGGAAATCATCTAGTTCATGTATGACTCCTTGGAAAATAAGATGGGTTTAGAGAATGAAGAGTAATGGCCTGAAGTGAAATTAAGAAAAAAATTTCATTTATGGTAGTATTAAAATGAATAAAATGCTTAAGAATAAATTTATCAAAAGAAATAAAAACCTTGTAGTTTGAAAATTCAAAACATTTTTGAAACATGTTAAAGAAGACCTAAGTAAATGTAGACATCTCATACTGATAGATACAAATGGTAATGTTGTTAAAATGTCAGTACTTTCCAAACTGATCTGTAGATCCATACTGTCCAAGCTGATCTCTAGAATTCCATGGAAAACAATTTTGAGAAAAGTTGAACAAGTTTTGCATACTCATTTCAAAGTTCCAGTAATTTATACAGCATATACTAGTCTGTTTTTGAAGTTGAGAATCTAGGAGTAAAGGTTGAAATTTATGGTTAATTTGTTGATTCTTGATAAGGATGCTTCAAAAATTCAATGAGGCCAGATATGGTACATGCCTGTAATCCCGCTGAGGCAGGAGGATCACAAGTTCAAAGCCAGCCTCAGCAACTTATTGAGGCCCTAAGCAACTTAGTGAGACCCTGTCTCAAAAACACGGTGGGGAGCAGGCAGGATGTGTGTGGTTCAGTGGTTAAGCACCCCTTGATTCAATCCCCAGTACTAAAAAAAAAAAAAAAAAAAAGTGAGGTCATGTGCTTGGACAGGTGCCCGTTATTCATTCCACAATTAATGTGTATTTGGTTTGCTTCTGAGGTTTGCCCTCAGGAGTGGTAGATATATCTGTGTTGTTGAACTGTCTTCTGACATGTACATGCACACATGGATGTTGCATATGTACCCAGGAGTGCAATGGGTGTTGGGTATGAGTGTGTTCTGTGCAAAGTGGCATATCCATTTATGCTCTCATCAGCAGTGACTTCACGCTTGCCAGCACTTGCATTGCCAGCTGTTTTAATTTACATTTCTGATGTGAATGTTGTAGTTGTGATCCTAGTGTACATTTGTCTGAAGTCTAGTCAGTTGGGTATCTTTTCATATGGTTCTGCAGGTTTGGTATTAGTAAATAGACCTTGAAGATATCTTGCAGTTTTGTTTTCCCTTAATTAGCCCTTCTTTCTGGTCAGTGTGTAGGCCTTTATGTATTGTGAATCAGTGTTGTTATATATGCTGTACGTATCTTCTTTCTTCCTTCCTGGTGGGCAGAAGTTGTTAATTTTAATGAATTATACTTTATTAATCTTCTCATTTATGCTTAGTTCTTTTTTTAAAAAAAAATTTTCTGGTGGTGTTGAGCACATACTGTAATCCTAATGCTTGGGGAGGCTAAGACAGGAGAATCACTAGTTCAGGGACAGCCTGGGCAACTTACGAAGATCCTCAGCTGCTTAACGAGACCCTGTTTTAACATAAAAAATAAAGAAGGAGCTGAGGATGTAGCTCAATGGAAAAGTGCCTCTGGGTTCATTTCCCAGTACCAATAAAATAAAATAAAAAATTCCTACAAAAAAGTCATAAAACACTATTATAATATTTAATGAGTGACAAGACAATTAAGCAGAGAAAGAAAATAAATTCTGGATTATCGTTTAGAGATTTTGCTGGGTTTACTTTTACATTTAAAACTATAGTGTGGCATAGAGGTCAGGTATCATTCCTGCACCTCCCCTTTGGGCATCCAGTTTTCTCAGTACTTTTTATTGGAAAGACCCATTTTTTTTTTTTTTTGTTGGTCTGTAGTGTCACCCTATAAATCTATGTGTGCTCATCTCTGGATTTCCCAGTTTTGCATGGGCATAATTACCTTGGTGAAATGCTATCTTGTATTAGTTGGTCCAGTTTTATTTCTAGTGTCATTAAGTTGTAGAGTCAGTCCTCACTCTCTTCTTGGTTATTCTTGGCATTAGCAGCTCCCTGTATAGCTGAGAGAAACCCTTATCAGTTCCCACCAAAATAGAGGGGGGTAAAAATCAACTAAGATATTGTTTGTATGTATGTTGATTGTATGTTTCAATTTATGGGCATTTGACAACTTTGCAATTACATTGTAATTTTTGAGCAGGATACATTTTAAGTTTAATTTCTCTAGTAATGTTTTATATTTTTCATTAGAGGTCTTGAGCATTTTTTATTAGTTTATTCTAATATTGATTTTTTTTTTTATTACTGGAATGGACATGTTTAATATTACTTAGTTTCTTGCTGTTTGTTACTGGTATATATCCATGTATCTATTTATTTGTGTGTGTGTTAGTCAGCTTTCCATTGCTATGACAGAATACATAAGAAAAACAAAGAAGGAAAGATTTGTTAGGTCTCATAGTTTTAGAGATTTCAGCCCATAGTTGCTTGGATCCAGGCTACGGGCTTGAAGTGAAGTGTAACAGCATGGTGGGGAGCTTTTTGGTGGAGCAAAACTGCTAATCTCATGATGGCTCGGAAGCTGAAAGAGAGGGGAAGAGAGCACACCTGTATGTAGAGGAAAGGGCTAGGGACAAGATATGGCCTTCAATGGCATGCCCCCAAGGACGTTACTCCTGAACTATGCCACACTTCCAAGTGTCTATCACCTCCCAATAGCACCACCCTGCTGGGATCCAAGTCTTTAACACACAAGCTTTAGGGGACATTTATGACCCAAATCATAACAGTACATGTTTTTCTCTGTGTCATTAAGTTTTGCTGTTACATGGATTTACATCCATGTGGTTTCTTTGGAATTTATTGGCTATTTTTTCCCCCTGCTTTCAAGCTCCAAAATTGATGACATCAAGCCTCTTTTCTGTTCTTTTGTATGCATTGATTTATGTGATTTTCCTCTTGACGTCTTTCTGACTTTGGCTGTTGTACTCACTTTCTTGTCAAATTTTTATTATCTTTTCGGTTTACAATATTTTCTAATGTCTACTGTGATTCCTTCTTTGACCTTTAGATATCTTTGTCCTTTAGAGATCTACTGGTCATGCTTCTTTGTAGTGTTAGAAAGAATAGCAGTATCCAGCATAATATTTCAGCCTTAATAACTTAGTATTTGTTTTTACTACTACTTATTGACTAGGCCATTTCTTTGTCATATGGAAAAGTACACATATTTAGAAAATTATGTGAAATATTCTTATTTTAAGTACATATTTTTTTAGCTTGATTTTTCCCCTCCCATTAGGGTTTCCAATTGATAAAATGATTATAATGATGAGTAAATGTTTGAACTGTGACTAGTAAAAATTTTTATGTGCCATATATCTTTGAGTTCCTTTTCTGTCATAAAGAAGAGATCCTCTATTTTGTGAGATTTTGTTTGCTTAGTCACGCATTTATTAATTCACTGTATTTTAATGATGTGCTGTTATGTGTTAGATATTGGACAGTCACTGCCCTCACTCCGTAGGGCTTTTTCATCTAATGGAAAGGATGAATTTTTATAAGGCAGTAGCTGTTGTGTGAGTTAAGGTTCAACAGAAGCCGTGAAAATGGCAATATTTAACACTTTTCCGACACAAAGCATTTTGTAAGTCATTGCTAAATGCCATTTACCTCTCTGGATGATGTATTAAAATAACGAATAACATATTAGTTATTTCAACATAATTTTAATGATGACATTAATTGTAGTTAGCTGTTTTACTTTGGAATGGAATAATGTAATTTGTAAAGCTTCATATAGGTAATTAATTTTTTTTATTATTCTTTGCAGAATCAAAGAATTCCATCAGACATGGTATTTCTTAGAACTTCAGAGAAAGCAGGTATTTTTATTTTTTTGCACTGTTGTTGATTCAGTATTTTGGCAGTTTAATTGTTATTTTAAGAAGTAAGAGTTAAGTTTATGCCTATAAAAATTTCCCTGATAATATTTTGAATGTATTAGTTTCTAATAATCTTTAGTTCTTGATATTTACAAAGGTGGCTTAAATAATCCTGTCACAACCTGTGTACCTTAATTAGTTTTTCTTCCTTTCATATTCAGATATAATTAATTAAATGATGTCATTGCTCAAAACTTGATTGCTGTTTTGTGTTTGCAATTTTATTCATTGATTCAGCAAATAGTTATTTACTTACCACTTCCTTCATACCAGGCATTAATTGTTGCTTACAGAGAGAATAAAATCCATAGAAGTCCATACGTACAATGACCATCAGTAGTAATCCTATTGTATAGGTCCTATAGTGGTGACAAGAGCTGTTAGGGTTATGTGAGAGTGCTGTCTAGGTGAGTTGCCTTACTCTTCACAGGAAAAACAACATTTAGATGGCCTGAACTTTGAATAAGTAAAAAGTGGAAAGAGTAAGGGGAGGGAAGCCTCATGCGGTTGACTGGAGAGGCCATGTTGGAAATCTGTTAATTCTTCATTTGAGTCTCTAGTCAGTTCCTGATTGTGTGACCTGGCTTTGTGGACTGAGGGCAGTTAGTCAACGAGTGTCCAGAACTTCTCTCTGCCCATTTCTCAAACTCGTTGAGTACGTTAACCATGATTTTGTAGGAAGCTCAGCATATTGTCATTTGTTTGTGTGCTTAACATGTATTATTTCTAGTGTGAATACTTTTTTTTTTTTTTGGCCAGCTATAGAGTTGGTAGTTATTCACCTTGTCAAAGAAGGCTGTCATCAGCAGAGGAGTTAACCTTAGAATTAAGTGGCTTATGAATTCGGTTCTTTACTTTATCATGTGTTATTTAATGGGAGTTCTTAGGTTCCTAACTGGGGCAGACATTGGTAAGGTACTCTGCACCTCTTGGAAACAGCTGGGCTTCTAGTTTATCCTGTCCAGTGAAGTGGATCCGTGCCTCTGGGCTCTGTCCTGGAGAGTAGGAGCTGAAAGTCTTTCACGTACTTTGCGATGTGTCTACTGTTTCCTTTCTAGCTCAATGGCAGCCTTGGAAACTGCTGGTTGAAGGCACAGAACTTTCATCAGCGTGGCTTCCTGAATGACTGCTTTTGGAATAAAGCTTCTCCCCTTCCATTGCCAAATGGATTCTGTTGGAGGGAGGCATAAATCTCTATTGTGAAGCACTGCAGTTGCTGGTTTGTTCTTTACCATAGCTGTTGTTCCTTAGTGTGTTGTCTTCTTGATCTCTGTTTTGGAAGACTTCTCTTTTTCTTCACAAGTAGTGTGATTTGCTTTTAGAGTTTTTGCATGTGTATTTTGAAACTATCATTGGGTAGCATTGGAGTATAAAGTGCTCCATTTCCAAGTATTTCTAGTCATTCCCTCAGTGTTGCAGCAACACAGTGATAGGCTTCCTTCATCACAGGGCATATTTGGTGCAGTGCTCTGTTGCATAGAGCAGTCTGCCAGATGGTGAGGGAACTCTGTTGGTGAGGCCCCTGGGAGACCCATCTCCTTGGCTGTGTACACATGCCAGAACAGATACCTCTCAGTCTCAGCACATAAGCCTGTGCTGCTGGATTTTTGATTGCAAGTGTTTTGTTAAGGATTTATGCCTCTGTGTTCATAAAGGATATATTGATTGTTTGTTTTCTTTTTCCTTATATCTTTGCTATCAAGGTAGTATAGTACTGGCCTTTGAGTGAGTTAGGAAGTGTTCTTTCCTCTTCAACTTTTTTGGAAGTTTATGAAGAATTATTATTGAATTCTTCATTAATGTTTGGTAAAAGTCACCCATGCAGTCATCTGGGACTGGCTTTTATTTTGAGGTTTTTTTTTTTTTTTAAACTAATTTTCTTGTTAGAAGCCTTTTCAGATTGTTTCTTGAGTTAGTTTTGGCAGTTCATGTCTTTTTAGGAATTTGTGCATTGTATCCATCTAATTTGTTAGCATAGTGTTCTTAGTATTCCCTTGTAATACTTTTTATTTCCTCAGCGATGGTAGTGGTGTCCTCTCCTTTGTTCTTGATTTTAATAATGTGATGCTCCTCTTTTTCTTAGTCACTCCAGCTAAAGGTTTGTTGATTTTGTTGATCTTTCCAAAGAACTAACTTTGGGTTTCAATAATTTTTTTCAGTTACTCTCTGTTTCTTATTTCAGTGTCTTTATTACTTCCTTCCATTCATTTTGGGTTCTGTTTTCTTTTGTACTTCTAGTTTCTTAAGGTGGAAAGTTAGATGAGGTCTTTATAGTATAGGCATTAAAATTCCATTTCCACCCAAATGCTGCTGTTGCTGCATCCCAAAAAGTTTGGTATGTTGTGTTTTCATTTTCATGCTCTCAATAGCATTTTTAAATTTTGCTTGTGATTTCTTCTTTAACCCATTGTTTGATGATGAAGATGTTTAGTTTCCAGGTATTTGTGGATTTTTCTAAATTTCCTACCATCACTGATTTCTGGTTTCATTCTGTTGTGGTTGGAGAACACACTCTGTGGCCTCAGGCAGATTCACCCAGATCTGTGTTCTGAAGCGAGCCCCTGTGCTCTAGAGCAGGATCTGTGTTTTGTCACTGAGATGTGGCATGTCCAGTGGGTGGGTGTTTGTCAGTTCTGGTGGGTCTGCAGCATTGGTCACATCTTATTGTCTTCTATCTAGTTATTCTGTTCATGGTGGAAAGTAAAGTAGTGTAGCTTGCAGGTATTTTTGCTGTTGTTTCTATTTCTCCTTTATGTATTTGTGACTGTTGTTTGGGTTACACATAGCTGTCTGCTGGATGGATTGGCCCTTTGATCACTTTAATGTGTCCTGGAGATGCCTGCTCTCTATTGCTTACTGTTTATATTGTTTCCTATTATCTTTAGCCTTCTGTGTCTTTGAATTAGTCTAAAGTGTGTCTCTTGTAGACAGTGTATAGTTGAATCTTGATTTTTTTCTTCTATTCTGTTAATCTTTGCTTTTTAAATATAATTAGCTTTATTCAGGAAAATTTATATACAGTTAGGTGCACTCATTTAAAGTACAACTTATATGTTAAAGCGTATTAACAAGTATACCTTCCTGTGAAACTACTATTGCTATTCCCACACACCCTCTTTGCCCCATTACCCTGCATTACCCTGCTTCTCTGGCCCTCGAGTTATTCTTCTCCCACATCTGGTGGCAGAGGAGACACACAGCTCTGTGAACCTCAAGACATTCTTCCTGACTGCCCACACATCATCTTGAAAGGAGTTTTCTTGTCTCTGCTTCAGTTTGCCTTCACCACCTGCACACTCACTCTCAGCCTATGACTTCACCTTCAATATCACCAGGAGCACTGGGGCCCTCAGACTGACAGTTCCTTCCATATTCTCTTCCTTGTTAAAGCATATGTTGAGCATGATGGCAAATCAGGACAACCACTTTGGAAAGCAATATGGAAATTTCTCAAAAGACTAGGAGTGGAACCACCATATAACCTAGCTGTCCCATTCCTTGTATTTTATCCAAAAGAGGTAAGAATCAGCAAACTATAGTGATAAATGCATACCAATGTTTATAGCAGCACAGTTCACAATTGCCATGTTATGGAACGAGCCCAAATGCCTGTCAACAGACAAATGGATAAAGAAAATGTGGTATAAACATAAACACAACAGAGTTCTACTCAGCCACAAAGAAGAATGAAATTATATGTCATTTCCTGGTAAATGGTTGAAATGGGGAGAATGTCATGCTAAGTGAAATAAGCCAGACTCAGAAAGTTAAGAGTCAAGTGTTTTGGATTCCTAGAGAGAAATAAAGAAAATATATATAAAAAATATCTAATGAAAACAGAAGTGCGAATAGTGGGGTAGAGGAAGGGGATTGAGAAGAAGGGAGGAATGGGAAAGGGGAGGAACTGCAGAATGAAATTGACCAAATTATGCTGTGGCATGTGTGAGTATGTCGCAGAACTGCTTTTATGTTTAACTATAATTCAGTGTTTAAAAAGCAATAAATAAATAGAAGGAAGACCAGTAGAAAAGAGGAAGGGGATCAAAGGAGGAAGAATGGGAGGGAAAGGGGGAAGTCCTGGGGATTGAAATGGATCTACACATTTTATATACATTTTTGAATATGTTAAAATGAAGGCTAGTCTTATGTATGACTATAATGCACCAACATTAAAAAAAAAAAACTTGTATATTATTTACTGTAATTAAAGTCTTTAAACCTTAGTCAATACAGAAGTCCTAGATATAACAGTGTGTTCAAGCTTGGACAACAGCAGCTGGGTGCTTGTCAATACAGCTTGGTGAGTCTGTTCATGGCATCACATTGACTGTGTATTAATACGGAGTATTCTATTGAGCTGTGAGTGGATTGTTTAGAATGTAAATGAAGCTGTTGATGGATCTGGTGACTGATGGCTTAAATTCCAATCAATCAATTGCTTCATCAGTTTCTTAATTCAGATCAAATATCTCCTGGGTGCACACAGTTCTTTTAGTGGTATTAAGAGAAATTAATGCTTTAAAACTAATTTTCATCAATCTCTTATAAATGCCAATATCTTTTTCACTTGTGTCCTAAGTTGATGACATTATAATTGAAATGTTCAGGACATATTACAGTACCCCAGCTATCCCTTGTTAGTTGGACGAGGGTAGGTAAATGACACTCTCCTCATCTGCATTATCTCTGTAGTGCTATTCATCTTGCCTCCAGCTTAAAAATTTCATGCAGAGTCATTAAGTCATATAAATGATTTAAAAATTAAGTTTAATGACCAGGGCTCTGGTATTAGAAATGTGAAGTCAATGTCTATTTCTCTTTTGTTGGGCATATACTGTGGCCCATTTCTTTCAGAGCTGCTAGATCCATGAGCTGGTCCAGGCTACCTGCTAATGCTGAGAGGTGACTTGTTACACTATGACAGACTCAGCTGTCTCTCA